GAAAAGGAAAAAGAAAAATGTATTTAAACACATAGAACTTAGCTAATAATGTCACATTGCATGGTTCTTCAATGATAGAATCAAAATGGAAATAAATATGTACTTCTTAAATTCCTAACACTGTTAAGAAGTATTTTTATCTCAAATTATTTAAACTTTGAAAAATCAACTTACTTTAATCTCATTGTAGAGAGTTAGTAAGAGGAGTTCCCTAGAATAATTCAATTGAAAAAATTTTTGTGGGCACATAATAATTGTACGTATTTGTGGAGTACATGAGATATTTTAATAAAAGCCTACTATATGTAATGATCAAATCAGCATAATTGGGATATCCATCATCTCAAATACTTATACTTTTTTGTTTGTGTGTCGGGAACATTTCAAATCCATTTCTCTAGTTACTTTGAAACATATAATAAATTATTGTTAACTACAGTTGCCCTATTGTGCTACAGAATATTAGATCTTATTCCTACTACCTATCTATATTTTTGTAACCAGGAATAATTAAATTTTTGTTAATGTTTTAAATGTGAAGGATGAGATAAATGAATTTAAAGCCAATAAATATGTATATGAAGAGCTGTTTTTCACATTAAGTCATGTTTAATATTTTCTAGACAATATAGCATTGAAAATTAATGACTTTAAGAAGTAAGGAAAAGTATAACTATAGGGATTGCACTGTTGAACAAAGTTAAATAAATGTAACAACTGCTAAACAATATGAGTTTGTTCAGAGTGACTGAGATCCTGACTAATTTTTACTTGGAAATCTGAACATTATAATACTATTTTAAAAACTTGATTCTGTGAATTACAAAACTAGTATTTATAGATAATTTTAACCATTCTAGATTTCCAGGTTTATCTAAAAGAATATTTAAAAATAAGCTCTTCAATAATGCCAATACAATATCTTATCTTTTAGAATTCATATTGTTGTTAAAGTTATGAAAAACTTACCATTTTCCGCGCTTGCCTTACTGCTGTGATCTCTTGGGCAGTGTGCTTTAAATAACAGATTGTTCAGTTTTTGAAATATTGGTAGTGATAACCATCTTTATTGAGGACAGATAGTGTACTTAGTACAGCACAGAACATACTGCACACTCCCTGACAAAAAGAAATCAGAAAGTTCAAATAACTGATAATTTGGATAAGCTAAATGAATTAAAGCAAATGAAGTCTAGTCAGCAAGGGCAGTGGAGTATATTTAGGAACAAAAATATTAACATATTGGTGGTTGAAACTGAAGTTCATACAACTAATGATGATGATTGTTATGAATTAAATAGTCCCCCCCAGCCCCCAATTTGTATGTTGTTATACCCCTGCAAACCTCAGGATGTGACCTTATTTGGAAATAGGGTCATGGTAGCTGTAATTAGTTAAGATGAGGCCATGGCCAGGCGGAGTGGGTGGCTCACGCCTTTAATTGCAGTACTTTGGTAGGCTGAGGCAGATGGACCACCTGAAATCAGGAGTTCAAGAACAGCCTAACCAACATGGTGAATCCCTGTCTCTACTAAAAATACAAAAAGTAGCCAGGCATGGTAGTGCATGCCTATAATCCCAGCTACTCTAGAGGCTGAGGCAGGAGAATCGCTTGAACTTGGGCCAGGGAGCAGAGGTTGCAGTGAGCCAAGATTGTGCCATTGCACTCCAGCCTGAGCAGCAAGAGTGAAATACCATCTAAAAAAAAAGAAAAGATGAGACCATGCTGGAGTAGGGTGGGTCCCTAATCCAATATGACTGATGTCCGCATAAAAAGGGGAAATTTAAACTCAGACGTGATTACAGAGACAATGTCATGTGAACTTGAAGATGACTGTCCATAAACTAAGGAGAGAGTCCTGGCTGAAACAGAGCTTTCCCTCCCAGCCCTCAGAAGAAACCAACCCTCCCAACACTTTTTCAGACTAATAGCCTCTAGAACTTTGAGGCAATACATTTTCCTTGTTTCAGCCACTCATTTTGTAGTAGTTGGTTATGAGAGCTTTAGGAAACTAATGTGATGGTTTTACAAGAGTACCAATTTACTTTGTATAGAGTATAACAGAAAAAGATATAGGGTTTATCCTGACAAAAGGTGAACATTATTACTAAATTTCTAGAGTAAATGTGAGACAGTAGATATCCCAGTAGACCTAATGCTGGGGAAACCATTTTTACCGTGTATAGGTCTAGACTGTGCCACCTTTGAAACTGGAAAACCAGAAACAAGGAAATCCTACAAAACAATCTATGGAGAATGTCCTAAAGATTAAATGGTTAGGAAAACCAGCCGAAAGAAAAGTTGGGGACTTTGAATTATAGAAAATCATCATTAATTTTAACTTCAGGAATTTGGAACTGATAATTAAGTGAATTTTACTGTACACATATTAGTTATGTTATTAGAAGAATATGTAAATAATTTATGGACTGTTTTCAAGCATCTTCCAGTATCTTAAGGCGTTACTTTACTCTTATGAAGAATGAATACGCCGAATTCCAGTTGGCACCGGGCTAATGGGGGCTGCTAAAATCCTAGTTTCTCAACACATCCTCCCCTAAAACCTTTGAATTCAACTTGAAGCACAAATAAACCATTCATCAAATTAGTCTTTTAGCATTACTAGGAGATCAAGGATACCATAAACCTCAAATTGTTTGTAAAGAGAAAAACAGAAAATTTCTGTTGCAGCTATGGATAATGGGGAAGAGGTGTCTTTAGTTTCTCCCTGGAAAAGAGGAGAAGGGAGCAGGAAACTAAATGAAGCACTACAAAAAACTCTTTCAGAAAGAGAAAGTCTAAAGTGTTAAACGTCTAAAGAGGTCAGGCATGGAAGTTAGTAATTCATAGCGCTTACGGAAATGTGAACTTGAGCAGATTGAAGCGGGCAGCCTTGACAAAACATTGCTTCTGTAGGTGAGAGATAAATGGAGCAGTGGAAATGCCCCTCAGCTGGCAAGGAAGGGAAAGAAAAAAGTATTGGGAAAGTTGATGGTCGTGCAGAAATGAAAGAGAACTAGAAGACATGCCAGTTACTCTTGCTCACCCCTAGCAGCACAACATCATCTATGAAATAAACTGAAGTTCACTATAGTGACAGAGGGAGCACTCTTGAACTAGGATTCCTGTGCATGAAATGCTTAGAAATAGGAAAAATCGCAAATAATAAATTACAAGATGGAAGGGAGAATGTATTGAAATGAAAATTTAATGTGTCACTTAAGATAGATATGAATGAAAATGAGGTAAAGACGGATATCAGAAGGGTAAGAGATATAAAGTGGTGAATGGAAGACAGGCAAAGAAGATCCAAGATGAATGTAACTGAAATATCTAAAGAAGAAGTATTTGAACCAGATACATATTTAAAGCTGTTATCTAAGAAAACTTTATAGTAGAAATAAGAAAAAAAAAAAACCTAAATCAACATATCAAAAGGGGCCCACTGTGTCCCTGGGAAAACTGACTTAGGGTGATCAACCCCAAGACATGTAGTAAAGTTATTAGACTTTAAAGACAAAGAAAATATCTTCAGGATCTCTAGGCAAAAGAACAAGTTACTTAATGGCTGAGAAAATTAGTCTGCCCTCAGACTTCTCAAAATAGCACATAAAAGCAAGGCAAAAGAGGAGCAGCATATAAAAGCAAGGCGAAAGTGGAGCAGCATTTTCAGGAAACTCAAGGATAGGTATGAGCCAAGGATTTTATATCTAGTTGTTGTTCAAGGATCGAGACTATAAAGAAAAACAATTTGAAACATGTGAAAACTCAGGGAATACTGTGCCCATGAGACCTTCCTGAGGAATCGGTTAGAGTTGTGGTCCTCTAAGTGTGGTCCCCCAACTAGCAACATCAGCAGCGCTGGGGAACTTGTTAGAAATGCATATTTTCAGGCCCACCCCAGACCTACTGAGTGAGAAACTTTGGGATGGTGTCCATCATTGTGTGTTTTAGCAAGCCCTACAGGTCATTCTGATGCATACCCTGTAAGAAGATGAACTTCTTCTAGCCAAAGGGTGATTGAGGAAACTTTGGCAGAGAACTGATAGTGAATATTGATATTGATTATAGATACAGGTCTAAGAAATGAGTAGAGGCATAATTGGAAGAACAGTATGAAAACCATCATATGTATTGTCAAAGTAGAAAGAATACAACTAAAAATGAGAAAATAAGGGACAGAAACAGGAAAAAGTAGAATTAAATTATTAATTATTGTACGGGTAATAGGTAGAAGTCAGAGAGTACCACTTAAAACAGTAAAATAAGATAGTAAAAAATTTAAGCAAGAAAAAGAGATGATTAAAGGCATCATTAAAAAATATAATGGCCAAGAAACTGGTAGGACAATTTAATTAAATGCAATATATAATCCTGGACTGAGAAAAAAATTGCTGAGAGGAATTTATTGGTATAGCTGATGAAAGTGGAATATGGAATGTAGATTAAATAAAATATTGCATCAATGTTTACCTGAATTTAGTAACTTGATGTGAATATTTAAGAGAATATTCTTGTTCTCAGGAAATACATGCCGATAAAGTGGTAAAGGGCAGATTTTGATATTGAAATTTTAAATATTGGAATGACTTTATAATTTTCTTCACGTATTTAAAAATGTGATTACTATTTACCTATACGGTATGATTTGAAGCTAAGCAGAGATGAAAATATATTTGATCATTTATTCACATTCCTTGTGCTGTTATCCTGTGATCATTTACTATAAACCTCATGTGGATAAAGCAAAAGAAGTTTTGCATTGAATACTTAAGCTTTCACTTTGCACTGCATATTCCAAACAGAATAAATCCAGCAAATAAATTTAGTTGTTTCTTTTTAAATATACTAAAACTCAGGGTATTAGTATGAACTAACTTAAGATGAAAATAGTAAAGATGAGTACAGATGATATTTCTTAATATTTTAAAATTGATTTATACCAGCTTTATCCAAATTTTTAAGCAATAGTGAAGTACTTTATTTTTCTTTTTTAAAGATATGGATGTAATGATGCCCTTGATAAATGAACAGAATTTTGATGGGACATCAGATGAAGAACATGAGCAAGAGCTTCTGCCTGTTCAGAAGCATTATCAACTTGATGATCAAGAAGGCATTTCGTAAGTGTTATGGTTTATAAGTCTCCTTTTCTTTTCATTCAGTATGTATTTTGTAATCTTCTTCTATAGGCAAAACATTCTATTAGATTACAAGACACAAATATAAGACATCGTCTCCACCTTCAACAAGTTCATAGTCTGTTTGGAAAAGAAATGCATTTAAATCACAGAGCAGTGTATAGAAATTACTGCAATAAACTGAACTTCACTATAGTGACAAATGCTAGGGATCTTAATGTGTAACAAAGGCCAGGGATCTCAATGTGTAACAAATGCTAGGGATCTTGAAATAAGGGAGATCTGATTAAGTGGAAAAGGAATGTTAAGAGAGGTGGCTTCTGAAATAATCAGGAGGTAGTAAATGTTTCTTTATTCTGAAACAAAGCCATGGAGGTAGGAAAGCATTGTAACTTTTTTTTTTCTTTTTCTTCCCCACTTATTTATTTTATTGCATTTTAGGTTTTGGGGTACATGTGAAACATGCAAAATTGTTGCATAGGTACACACGTGGCAGTGTGCATTGTAACTTTCTAAAACCTTTTTTGACACTTTGTCATTATTAATAGATTTGAATAATTTCTCATTCCAATAATAGTTTAATGCTTAAAGTGATATGCAATTGATCAGAAAAGAAGAATATAAACTGAAAAAACATTTGGGCATTTTCGTTTCATGAGTTTAAACTATTTGCTCTTCTTTCTTATTTCAACTTATTTTTTCCTGGTGAAGAGACTTCCTTCAGATGCCTGTGGAAACTATTCTTAGGTCAAATCCCTTAGGGAATTCCTGGTATCTAAAAATTAATTAGTATTTATCTTACCTGCTGACACATATAGTTTTACAACTTGTATAACCTGTATTTTTTTTTTTTAATTAACTTCTTAGGTTGACAATCATAAATCAAATGTGTTTAGTATCATGGTTACGTAGGTAGTGTCAATACATTGCTGTTACCAGCCAAATACTCAACATTGTTTTGAAAATCATAGCAGCAAAGTGTCTTATGAGAAAATTACCTTTTTAAAAAAAATTTATTTACTGTGTAGAAAACCGCACTGTAAAGAGGATGCCTTTAAGCCCTTATTTTCTTTTTTCTTTTTGTAGACGGAGTTTCACTATTGTTGCTTAGGGTGGAGTACAATGGCGTTATCTCGGCTCACTGCAACCTCCGCCTCCCCAGTTCAAGTGATTCTCCTGCCTCAGCCTCCCAAGTAGCTGGGATTATAGGCTCCTGCCTGATGTCTGGCTATTTTTTTGTATTTTTGGTAGAGACAAGGCTTCACCATGTTGGCCAGGCTGGTCACGAACTGCTGACCTCAGGTGATCCCCTGGCCTCAGCCTCCCAAAGTGCTGGGATTACAGGTATGAGCCACCATGCCCGGCCAAGCCTTTTTTAATTTAATTTTTTACTATCTTGTTTGACAGACAGTTCACTTAAATATCTCATTTAATATCCACAATAACTCTTGTTATTCCACTTTTAAGTAGCAAAGGTAAGACTTCAACCAAGTACGACTTTTGGTCCAGTGATGGGATGGAATGTTATTTGGTTCCTTGCCTAGATTAATTTTCAGTTCCCTTCTAGTACTAAAACCATGATCATGTTATAATAGCTTTTGTTCTAAAACATTTAAGTCTTATATTTAAGTCTTACATCTTTTACTTTTCAGATTTGTACAAACTCTTATGCACCTTCTTAAAGGAAATATTGGAACTGGCCTTTTAGGACTTCCATTGGCAATAAAAAATGCAGGAATAGTGGTAAGACTTACCTTTGTTATCACCAGTTAAGATGCAGTTATCAGTCTCATTTATAGCAAGTCAGCTATAACCTGGTAAGGTGACGTTTCTGTGGTCATTTAGATGCCGTCTTGATAAAATTGTGTGAACTGTGAAAATGATATCTAATAAAAAAATGCTAATTATTCTATTCATTTCTACTTCATTACTTATTTGTAATATTTAAGCAAAAAAACTCACAAACCTAAAGCAGTCTTTGATTTTTCCAGACATAGTTTTATCTTATTAATATTTTGGATTTTTAGGAATTGAATTAAGCAGTGTAATCATAGCAACAAATATATTTATAGAGTAGGTTATTGGTAATGTGAAATTGTACAGTTTTTTAGAGTCAAATAGACAGTTTTCAGATTTAAATAATAGTTAATTAAGAAAAGTAATAATAATAGCTTTTAAAAACCAATATGTAAAAGAAACTTACTGTAATTATTATATTAAAGACAACCTTGATAGGGGAGAAGCCCATTTATGAGGTAATAAAGTTACATTTAACCTTTTTTGAATGGACCAGTTTCTAAAAACAGTTTTAACTATCATCTTTCTCTGCATTTGACTATTTTGTTCCCCCTAATTTAGATGATGAAAACTTTTGTTGATAAAAATAAACCTTGGCAATAATTTGATTGTATCTTGAAAATTACAGGTATCACTTTAATTTTAGTAAATAAATATTTAAAATATTTTATTTACTACTTTTTGAAATAATTATTTTCTAAGCATGGTTTCTGACACATAGTGAGTACTCAACAAGCAGTCTATAGAAGAAATAAATTGCTCACAGTCTCCATTTGATACTGTACTTTTTTGTGATTTAGATAATGATGCATGGATGCATATAGTTATAATGGTGGGTCACTGATAGTTGTAGACTTGCCATCTGATATTAAATATGATCTTTTGTTCTACCCTACTTTGTTATCTATACTCTATATTCATGGGTTTGAGTAGCTAAGTTGATAAGATGGATGTGGTTGTCTTAAATATTACTCCTCTTTCTCTGTCTAGTTTGTTAGTTTGCCTTTGTGTAGTGACTAATCATTTTGCCCAACTAATATTTATTCACTGCACATGATTTCTATTAAATATTTAAATCTTATAAATTTTTTCCCCACAGCTTGGACCAATCAGCCTTGTGTTTATAGGAATTATTTCTGTTCACTGTATGCACATATTGGTACGTTGCAGTCACTTTCTATGTCTGAGGTAAATGTGGATTTGTTAAGCCATTTATTTTGAAGCTATCTTTTTATTTAGATCATCAGATAGTCTTATATTTCTACTGTGTGTTGTATTTCCTTTAAACTCTTATATAGATGCATCTAAGGTAATGAATATGGAAGAGGGTAGCTTTTCATATGATTTAAATCTGATTAGAATCTGTTTTTAAAATGTTATCTCATGAGTGAAATAGAATGGTTTCTCTTAGTATAAATGGAAAAAATCAGAAAAGATATATGGAGGTAATGGAGGCAGTGGTGACTTTTAGTTATAGCATAATGGTCTTCAATGTATAGGTAATTCTGTTTTTATTGTCATTTGTGCTGTCTGCTGATGTATGGGTTAGTAGGTGGTCAACAAAGTAATATTCTTTTTCTTTAATTTTGTATCATGAAATATGTCTACTGGACAATAGACCTAACTTTTTTTTAAAAAGTAGATATTATCTAGTCTAGTAGCCTAATATCAAGTCTCGACTCTTTTGTTGTTATATAGTCTTAAAACTTTGGGCAAATCATTTATGAGCTTTATATGATAACATATACTTGGAAAGTTAAGAGAGAGAGAATGGAGAAATAATATCTACCTCATGGGAAGATTAAATGAGATAGTTTATGTGCAAATGTATTGTAGAGCCTTGCACAGATGTATTATTAAATAATGCTGTTCTAAGAATGGAATAATTTAGACATGAATAATGTAATTGATGTTTTAGGTATTTGAAATATCTAAATTAATAAAGCACAAATACTAAGTTATATGAATTCTGCACTTACATAAACTTTAGCAGTAGATAAAATTAATATACTGGTAAAAAGGACAGATTTAAAACTTTATGAGGCATGCTTTAAAAGTATGCAGATCTTGACATTTTGATAACTCATCTGTCAGTGCATAGCCTTGCATTTATTAATTCCTATTTATTTTATGTTTATTTCAAGAAGTGGTTTTATGTACCAACTTAAACTTTTTCTTTTTTCCTTTGTATGTATGTCATTAAATTACAGATTTAAAAAGTCAACATTAGGTTATAGTGACACCGTAAGTTTTGCTATGGAAGTGAGTCCTTGGAGTTCTCTTCAGAAGCAAGCAGCATGGGGACGGTAAATACTCTGTTATTAATATCTGATTGTTAAAATTATATTAAGTATTTTAATCTAGCAAGATATAAAAATAAAAATATGATAAAGTTGGGGAATAAACATATGTAACCTTTAGAATTAGACAGACTTGGGTTCAAATCTCAACTTGACCGTTTTTCAGTTTTCTGACCTTGATCAAAATATTTATCATTTTGGTTTGGTTTACTCACTATGAAATGAGTTTATAGTAATACCCATCTCACAGGATCATTTTAGTAGATGAAATAAAATGATATTTATAAAGCATGATCTGGTCAAATAATGACATAATCATGTTCATTAATTTTTTTAAATAAAAAAGCCAGAAAAATGTTTCAGTCCCATTATTTCAAATAAAGTTGTAGTATTTAGTTATATGCTCATCTGAGGTATGGATATATTTTAGCATAACCTTATTTTATTGCCTTTTTATTTAAATGTAACTTTATTACTGGTGGCTTTGGCTAATCAAAGTCAAATGAATACAGGACTAGTGAAATAAGGAAGCATAAACAATCGGCAAAGTGCTGCCTGTTGTAGTACAAATGACATGTGAGGTGGGAATTAAACGAAGAACAGTATTAGAGTAGTTAATGGTTAAGTATGGCCTTTCTGGAGATTTTCAGGAAGTTGTATTTGGTATGAGGTTCTCAGAGTTCCTGGAGTAGGAGCATATATGCTATAATAAAATGTTTAAAACTCTTAAAGAGAAATAAAATATACTGACATTTCAGTAGCTGTTATGGGTACTTATTTGTGGATGTCTTTTTTCAGGAGTGTGGTTGACTTTTTTCTGGTGATAACACAGCTGGGATTCTGTAGTGTTTATATTGTCTTCTTAGCTGAAAATGTGAAACAAGTGAGTATTTTTCTCCAGTTAGTGAAATCATTTTTTTCTAAAGCCCTAGATATGGCTTCCTGTTTCTTCTGTGGAAGCCATGGTCGAATTTGAAAATGTGTCTCTTTCATAAGTGATCTTCCTTTATAGATTTTCCTTTAGATTTTTTCTTGCAAGTTGGATTTCTGCTGTAATTGTTAATTATTATTTTGCCATAATACTGATAATGCTTGTTTTTTTAGATCAGAATATGACATTATTTACTGATTCTTAGCTACTTGAAACTTAGATTTCAAAAACATATTCATAGATGCTGTGGAAGCATATTCTTTACATTGAAGTTCTATAAAGACCTATATGAGGCTTTAGCCAGTAACCTAAAAAAATCAAGTAAAAATAATGAGCATTCATTATTAAAATCCAGTAATTATCGCCATTGTGTAAAAAGATACTGTGTCCATAAATGAACAGTTTTCTGTAGTTCTTTCAGAAACTTTCTCGCATTATGAAGGTTTGCTTTAGGAGGAAGTGGTTTGCAGTCTTGGAAGAGATTGACAATATATTTGGACAAATATGGAAAGCACTGAAATAAAAACTCCATCAAAACAATACTATAAAATACTTTTCTTTATTACTGGTATCATTATTCCTAAATTATCCCTTACTCTTCTTTAATCATTATTTTAATATTTAATCATTATTTTAATTATTAAAATAATTAAATATTAAAATAATTTAAACAGAATTATTAAATATTTATTAATTATCCACAGGCACATGGTACAGTAAACATTTTACATAGTAATATATAGGATTGTCTTGTAGGTATTTTTATACAAAATGATGAAGTGAGTATGTTTTCTAAAAAACCTATATTTGTGTAGATTCCTGTGTACTTGTGTGTATTTGTCTCTCTTTTCTAAGTATAGAGTATGTTTCATTTCACTGAGAATTGGCAAACTGTTTCTATAGAGGGCCAGATAAAAAGTATTTTCTGCTTTGCAGGCCATATGGTCTCTGTTGTAACCACTCAATTCAGCCGTAGGCAACAATATGTAAACAAATAGATATGACTATATTTCGGTAAAATTTTATTAGCAAAAATAGGTGTTCTGCAGACCATAGTGTTCTAACCTCTGATTTAGATTATCCCTGTATGCTGTATTTCAGCCACTCACTTAAATTTTTAATGTCAGAAGAAGTCATTGAGTCAAACCCTCGTTTATAAAAGAGCTCATAATTAGTAATTTGACCTTGGATTTTTGGTCAGTGTTCTTTCCAGTGTACCATGTCTCAGCATCTAGAAAAGTTTTTTTTGTATCTGGGACTTTAAATGTCTGGAAGCTTAAATGTCACCTGTTCTGTGAAACCTTTCTCAACTTTTCCTTCCATGTCTTTCTTTTCTTTATCGACAGAATTTATTGGTTTTTCTCCTGGCTTCTGTATCACTTTTAAAAATAGCCTTGATTATGCTGTAGTAAAGTTAATTTACAAGTTCTTTTTTACTGCTAGATGGCAAGCCCCGTGAAGGAAGGGACTCTCATATCCCTTGTGTTCACCTCTGTAAACTAGCATCTAAGAGTGCCTGGCTTATTGGTACCCAGTATGGTTATTGGCCTGAAGGAAAATGAACTCACTGGACTGGGAAGGATTATATCTTGTTCATGTCTTTATTTCTCAGACCTAGTACTGTACCTGGTTGGTTGTGCAAGTGTCGTTAAAACTTTGTGGACTGAAAGGGTTTAATCCTTTTGTTTGATTTCTGCATTGATGGTCTGTGCCACTTTCCTTGTTCTCATCCTGTGCAAACACCCTTTTCCCCATTTTTTTCTGTCAGCTCTTCTCTTTCAGCTCCTACATGACTCTTTAAACTTGGTTTCTCACGCTCACAGATATTTCTTTGTGTCTATAAGATGAATGGTGTCCTTAGGGTTTTCAAGGTAAATGATTATATTATCAGCAAACAGAGACAGTTTGACTTCCTCTTTTCCAATTTTGATGCCCTTTATTTCTTTCTCTTGTCTGATTGCTCTGGCTAGGACTTCCAGTACTGTATTGAAGAGGAGTGGTGAGAATGGGCATCCTTGTCTTGTTCTAGTTCTCAGAGGGAATCTTTAAGCTTTCCCCATTCAGTATTATGTTGGCTGTGGGTTTGTGATAGATGGCTTTTATTATATTAAGTTATGGAGTTCCCTGGCTAATAAAAGAATTCAGCAACCTTTCTGGATACACGATTAATGTACATAAATCAGTAGCTCTTCTATATACCAACAGTGACCAAGTAGAAAATCAAATCAAGACCTCAACCCCTTTTACAAAACCTGCAAAAAAATTGAAATACTTAGTAATATTCCTAACTAAAGAGTCGAAAGACCTCTACAAGGACAACTACAAAACACTGCTGAAAGAAATCACAGATAACAAAAACAAATGAAAACACATCCCATACACATGGATGGGTAGAATCAATATTGTGAACATGACCATACTGCCAAAAGCAATCTACAGACTCAGCATAATCCCCATCAAAATACCACCATCATTCTTCACAGAGTTAGAAAAAACAATTTTAAAATTCTTATGGAACTAAAAAAGAGTCTGCATAGCCGAAGCAAGACTAAGCAAAAAGAACAAACCTGGAGGCTTCACACTACCTGATTTCAAACTACACTATAAGGCCATAGTCACCAAAACAGTGTGGTACTGGTATAAAAACAGGCACATGGACTAGTGGAACAGAATAGAGAACCCAGAAGTGAACCCAAATACTTACAGCCAACTGATCTTCTACAGAGCAAACAAAAACACAAAGTGGGGAAAGGACACACTTGTCAACAGCTGGTGCTGGGAAGATTGGCTAGCCACATGCAGGAGAATGAAATTGGATCCTCATCTTTTACCTTATACAAAAGCGAAGCTCAAGATGGATTAAGGACTTAAACCTAAGATCTGAAACTATAAAACTTCTGGAAGATAACATTGGAAAATCCCTTCTAGACATTGGCTGAGGCAGGGATTTCATGACAATAACCCCCAAAGCAAATGCAATAAAAACAAAGATAAATAGATGGAACCTAATTAAACTAGAGAACTTTTGCATGGCAAAAAGAAGTCAGCAGAGTAAACAGACAACCCACAGAGTGGGAGAAAATCTTTACAATCTGTACCTCTGACAAAGGGCTAATATCCAAAATCTACAATGAACTCAAATCAGGAAGGAAAAAACAAACAGCCCCATCAAAACCTGGGCTAAAGACGTGAATAGACAGTTCTTAAGAGAAGATATACAAATGGCCAGCAAACCTGAAAAAATGTTCAACATCATTAATGATCAGGGAAATGCAAATGAAAACCACAATGTGATACCACCTTGCTCCTCCAAGAATGGCCATAATCAAAAAACAGTAGGCGTGGATGCAGCGATCAGGGAACACTTCTACAGTGCTGGTGGGAATGTAAACTAGTACAGCCACTATGGAAGACAGTGTAGAGATTCCTTAAATTACTAAAAGTAATACCACCATCATTCTTCACAGAGTTAGAAAAAACAATTTTAAAATTCTTATGGAATTAAAAAAGAAGAACTACCATTTGATCCAGCAATCCCACTACTGGGTATCTATCGAGATGTAAAGAAGTCATTATTCGAAAAAGATATTTGTAGACACCTGTTTATAGCAGCACTGTATATATATACACACACACACACACACACACACGCTCATGGTTGAATAGTACTCCATCATATATATGTATGGAGTACATATACATATATATATATATGGAGTACAACTCAGCCATAAAAGTGAATGAATTAACAGCATTTGCGATGACCTGGATGAGATTGGAGACTATTATTCTAAGTGAAGTAACTCAGGAATGGAAAACCAAACATTGTATGTTCTCACTGATATGTGGGAGCTATGAGGACACAAAGGCATAAGAATGATACAATGGACTTTGGGGACTTATGGGGAGGAGTGGGAGGGGGTGAGGGGTATGGTGCAGTGTGTACGGCTCAGGTGATGGGTGCACTAGGATCTCACAAATCACCACTAATGAACTTACTTGTATAACTAAATGCCACCTGTACCCCAATGACTTAGGGAAAAATAAGATAATAAAAAAAATTTTTTAATGGAAATGGTGTCCAGAGATTAGTGTTGTAACTGCTGACAGTTTTAGCCAGGAAGGTACTCCTAGATGCTGTCTGCGTCTGAGAGTCCCAATGAATTCTGTAGTTTTTCTTTCTACCCTCATTTTATTATTTTTTCAAAATATCCTATTTTTAAACTATTTATTCTTTTACTAGATATTTGCAAATAAGTTCTTATACACCTATTTCTGGCAGGAAAAAATCTGTAATCTAAACCATCAGACACAGGTGTTCCCTCATACATATTGTGACTATAGAATAGAGTGAAAGATCTTAACGAGAGCAAGTAGCATGAGAGATGTAGACATAGAAAACAGTAACAGTAATTAGAGCTAATTAGGGTCCTGCTTATAGTCTTGTTTATCAAATAAATCATCAGTTCTTCCATTAGCGTTACTTGTTATAGATGATGTTGTTTTGATTTTACAAATATTTATTTCTCCAAAGTGCATATTCCTAGGACTCCTAAATCCATTAAGAGGCTTTTTATTAATGAGAGTGACAAGATATATCTTACCAGTCATTTATATATAATATGAGGGAAATTATGCCTTTCTGGAGTTGTGCAACATCGTAGTACTGTATCTTTTCTAATACCTATCTTCTAATGGAGTTATCAATAAGCTCTATTTGAATTTAAGAATAATGTCAATTTCATATTAATAAACTATGATATACATTATTTAATCTTTATAACTACTCTGTAAGTACTTTGCTTATTTTATGAATGAGAAAGCAGTCTCACAAAACTTCAATAATGTGCCCCAAGTCGTATGGAATTAGACTGAAACCTAGGTCTCTGTCACATCCAATATGTTAATTGTTCATCACCCATGGGACGTTGTCTTATCTGATTTTAGTTGTGAGTGTGTTTATATGACATAAAGTGTAGATGAGGTGGATAAAATAAATGTTTATAAGCTTAGAATCTGTGACTTTCTTCTATGAAAAATTATCAGTTGCTTCTCAAGTTGAATGGAAAAGTTAAACTTTGCACATGTCCTGTGAAGATCAGGTAGAAAAAGTGACTCTCTGGAAGTAAGGAGAGCACCTGCTACAGATAGAAAAGTAAAAGTCTTCTGAGTCATAAACAGTAACATGGAAAAAAAGGCAGTCATGTTTGAGAAAGTAGTTGAGATGGTCACTGAAGCAGCATGAGATCAGAGATTTTCATTTTCTACAGAGGTGTTCTTTTACATTTGATAGGCATTATACAATAGCAGACACACTAGTTGATTAAACCTTACCAATTGCTCCTTACTGTTATAGTTAGAAACCATAGGATTGTTACCCTCCCCTTAATCTACATGGAATTGAAATGTATTTTGTTAACCAAAAGAATTAAGGATTTAGTTGCCACACAAATGTAGAACCTGCAATGTAACTGCCACATGACTATTCTTGGTCCCATTAAGACTATGCACAATCAGAAGGGGAAAAAGAACACTAGTGCTTCTGATGAATCTAAGTCCATGGTGGTTATAGTTGCTTCTCTCTGTTCTTACTCTAAGATACTCTAGAAAATGTCAGATAGATAAAATAGTAGTACGTGGGCATGGAGAATGGGTAATGAATACACTATTACATTTTAAAAATGTAGCAGTCCCCAAAACCATTGATTGTTGAGTCAGAAGATAGGAGTTCAAATCTCTGCTTTCTCAGTTTTAACTCACACATGAGGCAAAACCCCCTCATCCCTGGTCTAGCATCAGTTTCCTTATTTGTAAAATGGGAATAGTAACAAAATATCTCCTTGTTTCTCATAAACTTATTGTGAGGCTCAGCTGATAAAAGGCTTGTGAAAGCCTTTGTAAAATGTAAAACATTATACAAATGTAGGGAACTGTAACTTCAATTCTGCATTTGGCTTTACTGAAGAACGTAATCTGCAATTGGAATTTTAACTATTAAATTATGAAATCATTGAAAAATTAGTAAGTGGTATATTTTAGTAAATTTGAGCTCAAATGGAAACAACTGAATTTAGTAATTATATTTTATAATGTTTATTTCAGTGTTTTACATTTTGGTAAACATGTGAGATCATAGGAAGTCCTATTAGATAGCCAATCTCTGTCTCTAGAGGGCACCAAAGGACTCAAATGTTTACCTGAATCTTGCTCTAGGTATGTATCTACATTTTTATTTTATTTTATTTTTAATCCTGAGAATTTTTATAACCACTTTTCTGCCAAAAGTGCTAAAATACTATAAGATATTTGTGATAGAATTAATTTTAAATTCCCAAGCACCTAATAATAATTAAAACAGCCCTTTAAAATATTGGTTATATAACTGGTTTTCTCTTGCCAGCTATCTTTGTTAGAGCTTTACTTTGATCATTATCTAATCTAATTATTGGAGGTACTGCTTTCATAACAAGTATTTGGCTCTAAATAATTCAGCTACTAGAACATTAAGTCAACAATCAAATATGTTTGTAAAACCAAGGAATGTAATTCACCAATTTTGCTTTTATTTCAAATGATAGAAAATAAAATGTAAAGTTTTGATGGTCACTTACAAGGTAGTCATGAGCTGTGCATTTCTTAAATGGTGCGTGGTATAACTTGAGAGTCTGTTAGTCCAGTGTCAGTTATAAATTCCCTTTATAGGGCAAAAATCTAATAGATACATTATCCACAATCTAAGATGATATGTACATTTATAGTGACATTAAACATAGCTTATGGTAGATTATACATGTAAAATTAAAGTAGAAGGAACACTTAAATTATTAATCATATCAAATTTATTTTAATCTTCTGATTTATTGGCTTCTTAATTACTACATTTAGAGATAGAGATGTAAGAGTGGAAACCAGGTGGCTGCTTGGGCAGAGCCCTCCTCTCTGGGTTGCAGTATTTTGGTCAGGCTAATTCTAGAGTAACAAGCCTGGGTTTGAATCCTAGAACCAACATTTACTGGCTTGATATTATGCAAGGTTTAAAAAAAAATCTCTTGAAGCCTCAGGTTCCTCAACTATAAATTGGAATTAATATTACCACCTACTTTAGAGAATCATTTTGAGTATTAAGTGAGATACATGTTGTATATAAAGCATATAGTTCAGTACCAGATACAAATAAAGTACTCAAAAAACACTAGCTATTATTATTACAAGAATTTTTAGAATGTATTGTCCAGAGACTCAACTATATTGGTGTGTTCAAAGGAGGGTAGACTATGTTTGGGGGTAAACAAGTTTTCACTGGTATTTAAATTATAGCATGACCTGCCTCTGCTATAAAATTTTAAGACTGTTTGTAAAGTCCTCTATAATTTCATTTCTATTTTAGTAAGTAGCATTATGTGATTAAATTGGATCAGAGATAGTTTGTAATATATGGAGCCTGTAAATCATATTTTTAAATCATATTTGTTTTGAAATCTGAAAATTGGGTTATAGGAGTGGCTGAATAAGCTTTAATATAAACTTGATTTATTTTGTAGAAGTGTTTTGCTACAGCAAAAATTTATGTACTATCTACCATATGGCCACGCATGAGTGTAGTGGAAATATTTATTGATAGTGATGATAATTTATAAATAATTGCTTTATAAAAGTTTTAAAGTTAGGCGATAATTTTAAAATTCTGCTTAGACTACATTTCTAAGAGATAATTAGAGCTTGTTTCCTATCTGAAAAAATATAAGCTAGAGAATACTCAGTGGCCATCCTAGACATGTATTGTCCCAAATTTGATGATCTCAAAAATAGATACTTGAGTCTTTGGAGGTATCATGAGCATGATAGTCAGAAAGCTTCAGTATACATTAGTGAATTTATCATTACAATTTTCTAATGAACTTTATTTTTATAATATGATAAAATTATCTTTCAAGATTATCTTCAGTTATCTTTATATTTGATACATATGTTTCTAGAAAACCAGAGTATCTTTAAAAAATGTAAATTTAAGTATTTTAAAGTATATCATAGAATTGTATTTTAAAGTGTACAGATTGTAATTTTCTTTGTACATGTGTTTTATGATTATAAGTTGATGGAAGATTTCCCCCTTCTTTATTCTCCTGGTAATCCTGTATAGGTTCATGAAGGATTCCTGGAGAGTAAAGTGTTTATTTCGAATAATACCAATTCATCAAATCCATGTGAGAGAAGAAGTGTTGACCTAAGGATATATATGCTTTGCTTTCTTCCATTTATAATTCTTTTGGTCTTCATTCGTGAACTAAAGAATCTGTTTGTACTGTCATTCCTTGCCAACATTTCCATGGCCGTCAGTCTTGTGATAATTTACCAATATGTTGTCAGGGTAAGTATAAAATGTTTTTAATCAAGCTCTTACCTTTTCTATATAAGTAAAGTTTTTGTTTACTTTGGAAGTAAAAGTAATGAAGTGTAAAGACCCTGACTTTATATGTGACACACAGTGTATAATCAGTAAATGTTGGTTTCTTTTAGGGGGATACTGTTGAGTTAGGAAAGTATATGACACAGAGATTAAACCAACAGGGTTTGTGGTCAGATCTTGAATCTTGGTAAATATGCTTCTGGGCTTTGGACAGTGCTTCAGAAGATAATAATACCTACCGTATTAGAGTTATTACGAGATTTAGGATTGTGTCCTTAGTACAGTGCCAAATGTGAAACCAGGTATTCATTAAATGTGTTATTTATTCCTTTAAAATTTGAACCAACCACAAGAGATGCATGTATATATATGTAAATCTACAATTTCCTTTCACTTCTGAACTTTTATTTGCTGCTACTGCTTCAATCCACTGCCACTACACTAGTCTGTAATCCCTTTATCTGAAGTGTGTGCAATAACCTCAGCTGATTTCATTGTCCATAGTCTGGGGATTCTTAATCCAGTTTCCTTAAAATAATCTATTGATAGGATTCAGGGATTCTTCAAATCCCTTAAAATAGTTTGCAAGATTTAGTATGTCTGTATGTATATATGTGTTTTGCTATTGAGCAGTTAATATAGCTTTCATCTTGCAAAGGTGCCAAAGACCCAAGAAGGGTTCCAGTCACCTCTCATCTAATTCATTTTTTATGTTATTTCCAAGGTAATTGTTGTAAAATCTGAGTGAAAATAGAGTGGAGAATGAATTTTTATTGGGCATCAGCAGCAGTGGTTGTTAACTTGGCTATATGGCTCTCAGCTTAGGCCTTGAGTGTACTTTCCTGTTGTGGCAGGAGCTAGACCTAGTGTGCAGAGCCTGGGACTTGCAGGTGGAAGCAGGTAATCAGGAGCATTTTGCTCAGATGGAATGTGTGGGCATGAGGGAAACAATTGCTTTTGGCAGTGAAGTCTTAACAGCTTGGCTATATTTAACATGGGATGCTTAAAGTGTTTATTGAAAGAATTATTCAGTTTTATAACCAAGCTTTGCTGTTGTGAAGCTCAAAATTTTATGATTTTTCTTTCATTTTAAATTATTTAGAATAAGTAAAGATGTAACCTGTCTTCCTTTTTTCTTCCTTTCTTTAGAACATGCCAGATCCCCACAACCTTCCAATAGTGGCTGGTTGGAAGAAATACCCACTCTTTTTTGGTACTGCTGTATTTGCTTTTGAAGGCATAGGAGTGGTAAGAATTTAGTCTTTATTATTATTTTTTAAAATCTTAATTCAACACAATGATTTATATAGTCTAGCTATATTTAAAAATGCATATTTTTCTTTTTTATTTCAATTTTCTTTATTCCTAGAAGACAATGTACAGTTTGGTGTGTTAGATTAGAATTATAGTTTAGTCCTTTCACTAATGAAGAGCTTAATGTTAGACATACCACTCAGGCTCTTTAATTCTCTTTTTCTTTATCTATAAAATGAAGAAATTAGCCAGATTATTTTTAACATTTTATTATGGAAAATTTCAAACCTATACAAAATTTAGAGAGTAGTGTAATGAACTCCTATGTAAATATCACCTGGCTTCCAAAATTATTAGCTCAAGGCGAGTTTAAAAAAATTTGTATCCCACATACTCAGACACATCTGAAGCATATTTTATAGGTTAGATTATTTGAAGGGAATTGAAATAGTTGCAAAATCACTGTTATATAAGAAGAGTTGGATATAAATTCTCCCTATAGTTTTATGAATATAATGTTTGTTTTGAGAAACAATGTTATCATAAAGCTAACAGCAAGATAAACTCCAACGATTCTGAGGATTCTCAGATGTTAAATATTTTCATTCAGGTAGCTCCTGGTTTATTTAAAGCCTAACATTTGTATACTTGGAGAAAACAGAGTCTTGCTGTCTGCTTTGCTCCATAGTTTATGTTTCATAGTCTGATGGTCTGATACGGAAGCAAAACCATTGTAAACATCTATTTATATTAACCCCAGACAAAATAGATCTAAAATAAAATTTTATACCATTTTACTTGGGTTTCTGCTGTCTCTGAATTTTTTTTTAGATAACTCTCATAAATTCTTACAAATTTTCACAGTTGCTTTTACTGCTGTTACAAACATAGCTGCAGATTTTCATGTTTGTCTTTTACTGGTGAGTGCTAGTTAACTATTGGATATTTCCTCTGAATCTCAAATTCAACAATTCCAAAATCTGACACATATTTTCTCGTCCAAAACCAGCTTTACTTTCTCATTTTCCTTTTTAGTTTTAACTTCAGTTGCTTAAGCTTGAAACACTGGAATGATTTCTTTTACTTTGTCCTTGGTTCCCTATTTCAATTGATAATTAATGTTGATTCTTCTTTTATATTTCTCAAATCCATTCCATAAAGGAGACTACAGGTATTGATCGACTTACGATCTATGCAACTTACGACCATTCAACTTTACAACCACAATCGCTAGCCATGACTACTCCGCGTCTGGCAGCGCAAACGTTGCCCAGCGGGGCGTAACGACAGTGCGGACCAGCTTCTGGCAGCACTACCGTCTCCGCGTGCACCATTTCAACTGTACATATAGACTACTCAACTTATGATAAATCGTGTTACGACCGGTCTGCCAGTCCCAATCGTGGTCATAAGTCGAGCACTAGCTGTATACATAAAATACCTATAATGCTGCGTGACACAGAGAAGGCCTCAGGAAATGTTCATTTCTTTCTCCTTCTCCCATTCTAGCTGCACTGACACCATTCTTGGCCAGTGCCCATATTTCCTGTCTGGGCTATCTCCAGAGCATCCAAACTGTTCTCTGCCCTCTTGCTGCTGTTAGCAATTAATGTTTCCATATGGAACTGACTGACTTATGTAAAAAGTGGAGAAATATTAGATTTGTCATCTCATAGAGTTATTATGAGGATTGCATAAGATGCTGCATGCAAAGCTTTTAGAACTATACCTTAAATATCATGAACACTCCAGTAAATACTTGCTATTATTATTATTACTGTGGTCTTTCACTATATGGCCAAGTTATACGGCTAAAATCTCAGAAGATTTGCCTTAAAAACTTGATTTTTCAATCATCCTTTTCTTATTTTCTTTAAAGGTTCTTTTTTCAATAAAATAAAAATTATTTGTTAGTTTTACTGAAATTGACAGACAGTAGATACAGGTGGCTGGATATAAAACCAGCTACAGATACATGTGTATACATGGGTTGGTATACATGCATATACTTCCTAGTTCTGTCTCCTGAGAGGGGCTACAAGCAGTGATACCCCGGTAGCAATAAACACACACTCAAATCTTTATTTTTAAATACCAGATCTTCATGTCTAAATACCATTCTACAAGAGAACCAAAGTTCTTTGGAGAAATAGCTGATTTTAGGGCTGAAGCAAGGAAATTCAAGATGAGGCCAAAGCTTATCTTGTAACGTCAGAAGGCAAGAATGTGTTCAAGAAATAAAAGAATAGAGGCATGTCAAAGGGGCAAAGAAGCCAACCTGATGGAATTTACAATGGCCAAAGCTGGAATAACATAAGTAACACAACAAATAACAGAACATTGGATTATAACTCAATATATAAAACAAATATACCTAAAGTCATGCTAAGGTACATACATACATACATACGTGAGAATCCTAGATAATCCTCCTCCCTCCAGGCATTATAACTAATCCCCTCCTACACCCCAGAGATGGGGCTGGGTTTAGGGACTTGCTCTCAATAAACAGAGTATGATGAGAGGGAAGTAAAGTAATTGTATAGCAGAGAAACTTGGCAAACACTACCTTAAACAACTGATGAAAATTAACTTCACCAGTGATAAATCATGTTAATAGCATGTGATGAGACAGGCACTTCACCTCTATGTTATCCTTCTCTAAAACTATAATACCAGTCCAGTCTTGAGAGAAACCTCAGACAAACCTAAATAGAGAGGCATCATGTAAAATATCAGACCAGTACTCCTTAAAACTGGCAGGATAATGCATAACAAACAAAGATTGAGAAACTATCACAGACAGGAGGCATGGTGACAAAATGCACTGTGGGTATCCTGGATGGAACTCTGGGGCAGAAAAAGGATATTAACTGAAAAAACTAATAAAATCCTAAGGAAATTTGCAGTTTACTTTATAGTGATGTACCAATGTTGGTTTTTAGTTGTCACAAATGTACTATGGTAATGTAAAAAGTTAACAGTAGGAGAAACTGGGTCGGGTATATAGGAGATCTCTGTGTTATCTTTGTAACTTTTCTGTAAATCTAAAATTACTACAAAATATAAAGGTTATTTAAAAAAACTGACACATTTGCCTGCCAAGAGCTGAGTTTAAATGTTTTTAAGAGTTTAAAAATAGGTAGTTATATATATATGTATATATACATACATATATGTGTGTATATGTATATACACGCATATATCTAAAAACATAAGTGTTGAAGTATATTTTCATTGCTATATATGTATGTATACACATATATATATATAGCAATGAAAATATACTTCAAGAATTCTATGTGTTTTAAAGTAAAAAAATTTGCATATAGGCTATAAACAACCAATTTGTATGTATAAGAGACACTGTTATTTTTAAATACTTGTATTCCCTTTAAAAAAATTATATTCTTTTCTTAGGTCCTTCCACTGGAAAACCAAATGAAAGAATCAAAACGTTTCCCTCAAGCATTGAATATTGGCATGGGGATTGTTACAACTTTGTATGTAACATTAGCTACTTTAGGATATATGTGTTTCCGTGATGAAATCAAGGGAAGCATAACTTTAAATCTTCCCCAAGATGTATGGTAGGTGTATCTGAATTTCTCAATACTAATTTATATATTCTATAACCATTGTTTGATGATAAAGGCGTGTTCTTAGATTTATGGTTTAGACTTTTACAATTTTTACTGTGATTTGCTGTAATCCCAGCACTTTGGGAGGCAGAGGCCGGTGGATCACCTGATGTCAGGAGTTCAAGACCAGCGTCTACTAAAAATATTAGTCAGGTGTGGTGGCAGGCGCCTGTAATCCCAGCTACCCTGGAGGCTGAGGCAGGAGAATCGCTTGAACCCAGGTGGTGGAGGTTGCAGTGAGCCAAGATCATGCCATTGTACCCCAGCCTGAGTGACAAGAGCAAAACTCCATCTCAAAAGAAAAAAAAAAGAAAATTACTGTGACTTATTTGTGCCATCTGGAATTTTTTCATAATCTTTGGTGGAGATCAAATAGGAATTTAGGATTGTTTTGGGATTTTTTTAAAAAAGATTTAAAGCTGAAGGTTGTTCCAAATCCATGTGAAGTATAAGAGTAGAACAGGGATTATTTTAATATGGACACATTTTAATAAAAAAATTAATACCTGTTCTTATTGGCAAAAACCCAAACACCTAGGGTTCCTAATAAAATAATAGATTACATTATTTATGGTCCTTGCTGTTTTGGTCAGCTTCATAGTATATATTTTCCAAGTCCTTTCAGAACACAGTTGGGACACATTATAAATAATAAAACGGTGCATCATCTTAATGTTCTCTTTAATACTGGAACCATATCCTGCTAAATTAAACATCATATATATATGATTTTTCCTTTTTCCAGAGATTTGTCTTTGGAAAATTTTCAAAGATAGTAGCAGTGATTACCATGCAGACTTATTTTCTTATTTACAAAATGGAAGGTAACTCCTTAGTTTTCGTATATACAAAGAATAAATGTGGAATTGCTGATTGAATTATTGTCACACTACTACCTTAGCTACTTGGATACAAAAATCTATGAAACCTTAAATGGCTTATTATATTAGTGAAAAGCAACAATAGCAGAAATTATCTCTTCTTACTGGCTTCCTGGTGAGAATTTGTCTGTCATTTAATAGTCATTTGAATCCTGGGCATTTATTGGAGTCAAAAATGTTGCTAGGTCAAATGTTTACAGGAAGTCATTTATGACAGAGCAGATGTACCTAGGATAGTTTTCAGATTGCACAAGGGGCACACATGTGGTGTGTCTATATTTTTTATTACAATTTTACTTTAGCTAACATAAATGTATTTCAAAATGGAAACATGTTGCAAATGTTATAAATATATTTCAAGGTGGAGTCATAATTATAAACAAAATATATGGTCACATAGCATTTATTTTATTAACTCTTTATAGTTAATTATATAATTTTGTTCCCTTCAAATGTGCTTTTTGGTTTCTTTTTGATAATATGAAACTAGCAGCTTAATGAACTAGAATTTTAAACAGCTTAGAATAAGAGAATAAAGGCTAAAAATATGGTAGTATAGTTCATCTTTTCAAATACTATACAATGTTTAGAAAATAGAATGATATTTTTTCCTCATTTAGAATAATACTTAAAGCCTGGCATAGTGGCTTATGTCTGGAATCCCAATTCTTTGGGAGGAAAAAGTTAGGAGGATTGCTTGAGGCCAGAAGTTTGAGACTAGCCTGGACACATAGCAAAACTCCAAATCTACACAAAATTTAAAAATTAGCCAAGCGTGGTGGCCCAAGCCTATAGTCGCAGATATTTGGGAGGCTGAGGTGGGAGGATCACTTGAGCCCTGGAGGTTGAAGATACAGTGAGCTGTTATGGTACCACTAAACTCCAGCCTGGGAGACAGAGATTTTGTCTCAATAATATTAATAACAATAATAATACTTTGACTAAGTCTTAAAAATGATCATTTTAGAAATAAATTTGACAGTTAATGTCAAATATAAATGTACGTGGAAATAATGTCAGAATTCTTTCTTGTTCTTATTTACAAAAGTGTGTAAGGAGTATTTTATGGGGGAAGGATCTGAAGTGGGGAGTGTCTACACATTCACATTGAAAGGTTCATATTCCCTGGCACATCAGAATGTGATGCAGAAATAATGGGAAAGGATGAGAGAATGCTTTTGGTATTCACAACTTAATCTTGGAGGGTGACACTGTCCCTGAAGTAGTTTCAATTAATTCTTCCCTTTTCCCATAGCCCTTTTCTACATCTCAGATTATTCCTAATTGCTGTGACTTTCCAATTAGGATGGAACTAGTAGAGACTCTCAATTTAAAAGGGACTGCTAGATAATAGTTTCTATTTAAGGAAGTCTAGCTAGACACCACTTTTCATTAGAGGAAAGCCTAGGAAAAGCATCCTAATTAACAACAAAAATCTGGAAAAAACAGGAAAGCAAGTCAAGATAAATATTTTCCTTTAGAGAGCTTGTGTTGGTTAATGCCTTTGCTCTGTGGAGATATGCCTTATGCAGCCTATGGTCTATTTCTGTGTGGACTCTGCAGTTGTGGGACAGTTAAAATAATATTCACAGCTGGGGGATACAAGAGAAGAGTTACTTATCCCTTTTTATAGTCATGGCATTCTCTAGAGTGAGAAGTTTGGACTAGAATAATTATGGGATAATATCTAATATTTCTTTCTTAATATACTATGTATGAGCCTCTCACTTCTTTCCTGTGCTTCACACAAGAGGCTGCAGAAGTTAGAGATGGTGCAACATACTCTGTTGGTGGACTATGAAAGCCAGTGATGTTATAAGAATGCCCTAGACATTTTGGGAGGCTGAGGTGGGTGGATCACGAGGTCAAGAGATTGACACCATCCTGGCCAACATGGTGAAACTCCATCTCTACTGAAAAATACAAAAAAAAAAAAAAAGCCGGCATGGTGGTGCGTGCTTGTAGTCTCAGCTACTTGGAAGGCTGCGGTAGGAGAATCACTTTAACCCAGGTGGCGGAGGTTGCAGTGAGCTGAGATCACGTCACTGCACACCAGCCTGGTGACGGAGTGAGAATCTGTCTGAAAAAAAGAAAAAAGAGTGTCCAAGAGAACTAATGCCTACTAGCTATGAATAGCGATAAAGGGCTTTTGGTACAAATTGACAAAGTCTCAGAGTTTATTAGGGTTATTTCTGCAAGGAAAGATTGAATTTAAAAAAGGCCATAGGATAAAGCAAGCATGGATTAGAGAAGCTCCAATTTGTTATTATTACTCTTAATCTTTCTGAACTGTTGTCCTCAAGATTCTCAACCTGAGCATCATGAAAAGTCCAAGAGGGAAAGTGACTTACCGGGTTATTTCCAAGGGTAGCTTCTGTATTCATTCTTGAGAAGCAGAAACAGTCCCAAGTTGGGTTTAAAAAATTTTAAGATACTCATAGCTGATGGTTGATTTATTAGCCAATGTGGGGAAAAGAATAAAAACATTATAAATTTTGATATTCTATGTTTTCAAAACTAATATTTTCACTGGAACATTAAGTTGTGTTCTGTCTATAATCTGATTTAATATATTGTCTGAAAAATAATTATTAAAAATGCATTTCTGTTTTTTACTAAGGTATTAAATTCTTTACTATCATTATAATAGATTTTGTTTCTAAGCATAAATCCATTTATTCTTTGAGGTGCTATTAATATTTGTCATCTTGAATGGTTGTAGTTTCTAAGAATTACCTATCCATAACTATTTTGATAAATAATAAGTATCAATCACCTATTAATACTAAGTGCATTGAAGGGATATACAGAGAAGAATAAAACATAGTCTCTAACTCTCAGGAGCATTGTGAGCAAGGAGTTTTAAAAAACCCTTTAATGTATACTAAATGTTGTTTATAGTTGTTTGATGTTTTTGTATACCCTCAAAACAAATTCCTGTGACTTTAAGAAAGTTTATTATTCTTTAGAAAGAAGATTTACTGGGTAGATTTTTCCTTTCAACTTTCTTCATTTCTAAAATGTAGTACAAAAGAAGCCTTACAATAGATGCTGCCTAAAACCAAAATGAAGAAAAAGTTGTGATAATATCCATACAAAAGTTAAGTAGAAAAAAATAGTTTAGAGTGATTGAAAATATAGATGCCAAACATAGAAATAAGTGGGTTCTTGAAACAGAAAAGGAGTAGGAGTGAATTCATACTGAACTATGGCACTTTTTAAAGATGCTCTTTTATTTCTCTATAGCTCTTCTTTGGTTGATTAGTAGATATACCAATTTCTAAAACATGCATACCATTTTATTTATCATTTTAACTCTGTGTCACGCCAAATAATAATGTTTGCATATAATTAATGCTATGATTCTTAGCTGATGTAACTTTATTTTATGTCAGTAAAAAAGTACTTACATGCAAAATGATGCATTTTTATTTTTAAAAATATTAAATCAATTATTACCCACATATTAAAAACATTTAAGTGAAAAGATAATTAAGAAAAAGCAATGTCCTTCTGTTAAACTAATAATAAACTAACAAGAATATTTGTTTAATTATCATAGTATAATTAAACAAATATCATAGTTGCATATCATAGTATAGGAAACACATGTCTTTCAGTTATGTTGTATATATTCAGTAACTTGATCATTTATGTGTAGCCTTTAAGCCTCAAGCTGAGAAACATATCCTTAGCTAATTTTAAAAATTAAGTTTTAAATGTTGTTAGTTCTAAGGAGTTCCTTCTTTTCTAATTGTGCTATGTATTTTCAAAGCTATTTTTACTCAGCTTTCAAATTTCATCTTACTTTTGTATGGTAAATATATTATCGTGGGATACTGATTGAATCTCTTCTTGCCATAGTTTAGAGAACTGTTTATAATCCTTACTACTTTCACCACTCCTATTCAACATAGTATTGGAAGTCCTGGCCAGAGCAATCAGGCAAAAGAAAGAAACAAAAGGCATCCAAATAGGAAGAGACAAAGTCAAACTATCCCTGTTTGCAGATGACATGATCCTCTGTCTAGAAAACCCCATAGTAAGCCCAAAAGCTTCTTAAGCTGATACGCAACTTCAGCAGTCTCAAGCTGCGAAATCAGTGTGCAAAAAACATCAACATTTCTATACACCAATAACAGTCAAGCTGAGAGCCAAATCTTTCGTGTGCCAATAGTGAATGATATTATGTTGCCACAATTCACAATTGCCATATAAAGAATAAAGTACCTAGGGATACAGCTAACCAGGAAGGTGAAAAGATCTCTAAAACAAGAAGTATAAAACACTGCTCAAAGAAATCAGAGATGACACAAACAAATGGAAAAACATTCCATGCTCATGGATAGGAAGAATCAATATCATAAAAATGGCCACAGTGCCCAAAGCAATTTATAGATTCAGTGCTATCCCTTTATTTATTTACTTATTTATTTTGAGATGGAGCCTTGCTTTGTCACCCAGGCTGGAGTACAGTGGTGTAGTCGTGGCACACTGCAACCTCCGCCTATTGGGTTCAAGCACTTCTCCTGCCTCAGCCTCCCAAGCAGCTGGGACTACAGGCGCATGCTACCACGCCCAGCTAATTTTTTGTATTTTTAGTAGAGATGGGGTTTTACCATATTGACCAGGCTGGTCTCGAACTCCTGACCTTATGATCCACTCGCCCCCACCTCCCAAAGTGCTGGGATTACAGGCATGAGCCACTGTGCCCAGCCATGTTATTCTATTAAACTGCCATTGACATTCTTCACAGAACTAGAAAAAAACTATTTTAAAATTCATGTGGAACCAAAAATTAGCCTGAATGGCCAAAGCAATCCTCAGCAAAAAGAACAAAGCTGGAGGCATCACACTGTCCAACTTAAAACTATACTACAGGGCTGCAGTAACCAAAACAGTATGGTACTGGCATAAAAGCAGACACATAGACCAATGGAACAGAATAGAGAGCCCAGAAGTAAGGCTACCTGCAACTATCTGATCTTCAAAAAACTTGACAAAAGCAATGGGGAAAGGATTCCCTATTCAATAAATGGTGCTAGGATAACTGGCTAGCCATATGCAGAAGACTGAAACTGGACCCCTTCCTTAACACTATAAACAAAAAATTAACTCAAGATGAAGTAAAAGCTTAAATGTAAAATGCCAGACCGTAAAAACCCTGGAAGACAACCTAGCCAATACCATTCTGGACATAGAAATGGGCAAAGATTTTATGCTGAAGATACCAAAAGCAATTGCAACAAAAGCAGAAATTGACAAATGGGATCTAATTAAACTAAAGAGCTTCTGCACAGCAAAGAAAACTTATCAACAGAGTGAACAGACAACCTACAGAATGGAAGAAAATTTTTTCAAATTATGCATCCACCAAAGATCTCATATCCAGCATTTAAAGGAACTTCAAGAAATTTATAAGAAAAATATCTCATTAAAAAGTGGGCAAAGGCTTTGGGAGGCTAAGGCAGGCGGATCACAAGGTCAGGAGTTCGAGACCTGCCTGGCCAGTATGGTGAAACCCTATCTCTACTAAAAATACAAAAATTAGTCTGGCATGGTGGTGGGTGCCTGTAGTCCCAGCTACTCGGGGGGCAGAGGCAGGAGAATCACTTGAACCCAGGAGGTGGAGGTTGCAGTGAGCCAAGATTGTGCTTTTGCACTCCAGCCTGGTCAACAAAGTGACACTCTGTCTCCAATAAATAAATAAATAAAATAATAAAGTGGGCAAAGGTTATGAACAGATACTTCTCAAAGTGTCATATGAAAGAAAAAGTCTTATGAAAAAGCTCAACATCATATGAAAGAAAAAGCTCAACCGTCATGTGAAAGAAAAAGCTCAACATCATTGATCATTAGAGAAATGCAAATCAAAACCACAACGAGATACCTTCTCACACCAGTCAGAATGGCTATTACTAAACGGTCAAAAACACACTATTGAGGTTATGGAGAAAAAGGAACAACACTTAGAAACTGTTGGTGGGATTCCTCAAAGACCTTAAAACAGAAATACCATTTGATCCAGCAGTCCCATTACTGAGTTTATACCCAAAGAAATATAAATCATTCTATTATAAAGACACATACATGCCTGTGTTCATTGCAGCACTATTCACAATAGCAAAGACATGTAATCAACCTAAATGCCTATCAATGATAGACTGGATAAAGAACATGTGGTATGTATACATTATAGAAGACTATTCAGCCATAAAAAAGATGAGATTATGTTCTTTGTAGGAACATGGTTGGAGCTGAAGGTCATTATACTTAGCAAACTAACACAGGAACAGAAAACCAAATACCACATACACTTACTTGTAAGTGGGAGCTAAATGATGAGAAGAGATGAACACATGGAGAGTAACAACACATACTGGGACCTATTGAGGGTGAAGGGTGTAAGGAGGGAGCAGATCAGGAAAAATAACCAATGGGTACTAGGCTTAGTACCTGGAGGATGAACTAATCTGTACAACAAGCCCCCATGATACAAATTTACCTGTATAGCCTGCACATGTGTCCTTGAACTTAAATTTAAAAATCCTTACTACTTTAAGTCTTAAGACATCAAAAATAAACTGAAAGACCCATTAATGTTGAGGTTTTTATTTATCAAAAGAAGAATATAATCCTTTTAAAATGATTGCATTTTTTTATAAGAAAGAAAACACTCTTCCCTGTGCATAGGAATTTTAGGTGAGTAAGTGGAACTTTGAGAAGACTGTGGGAAGATGTTTCTGCTGATGGAGGACATATGTGTTAATCACTGCCCTGATGCTGCAGGACTCTGAATCCACAGTGTTCTCTCTGCTTTGTTACTTAAAAAATGCAAGGCGATTTGGGCTATTCTTTTGAATGTTGTAAAATATTAAAAATTTTTAAAAGTACAGCACATTAATTTTATTATTCTGCTACCCAAAAGAGTGGATTCTGTAATGTTCCTTCCTCTAGGTCCTACAATTTTATGTTTTCTTTTCATGTCATTATCAACATTTAAAAAGTCTTCTTTTGCCAGGCATAAGAAAGTTACTGAAGTCTTTATGAAGACATACATGCAAAGTTTTAACAGGACGTTATACATAATGTAGAAATCTAAAGATATTTATAAAACTGAAAATTTATAAAAATTTTCAGTTTTATAAATATCTTTAGATTTTTATCTTTAATATCTTTTTTATATTTTTATAAATATAAAATTAAACATTTTATATTTAATATTTTATATTTAATTTTATATTTTAAATTTTATATTTAATTTTATATTTATTATATATTTATATTTAATTTTATAAATATAAAATTAAATATTTTATAAAAACAAATATAAATATTTTTATAAATATCTTTAGTGTGCTGTTTTGAAGCGCTATATATCAAAGAAATAAGTTAATTTGTACAAAAAATAACAACCTTACCCAGCAACTCTATTTCCCTTATTTAATGTAATTTTAACATATTGTATGTATAATTTAGAGAACTTTGCAAGTTGACACTGTTTAGATGCCTGCTTTTAGACTTAAGATAGATGACATTTCTGCAACTAATGACATACCTCTGAAGATTTTCAACCAAGAACTGTACTTTAGAGTTTAAAATGAGTTTTTCTTCTATGTAAAGATCAATGAGGGTATGACTCAGGATTAAAGACATATAATAGTCTCAATTTTTAAAAAGAAAGTTGAGAAAATATTAGCTCTTCAGGGGGCTGAGTCTAATCTTTAAAATATTGGCTTAATGAAATCTTTTTACCAATATATCCCGAACCCTGGCATGCATGTTGAAGCTTTCCAGTCTTGTCAAAATGAATTGTCCTTGTATCATCTAGAAATTTAGTTAGAGACCAGTTTGCCTTTTTATAAATAAGCATTTGTAGTAAGGTTCTAATTTGGTATTCTGGATTTCTGACTTACCTTAATATTAAAAATAAAGGAGAAAAGCTAAATTCACATTAAAAATGACTAAATTTTGAAAATTTTTTTCAACAGGTTATATCAATCAGTGAAAATTCTGTATTCCTTTGGCATTTTTGTGACATATTCAATTCAGTTCTATGTTCCAGCAGAGATCATTATCCCTGGGATCACATCCAAATTTCATACTAAATGGAAAAAAATCTGTGAATTTGGGATAAGATCCTTCTTGGTTAGTATTACTTGTAAGTATCATTATGTATTCCATAATAATTCTTTTATTGTTGAATTTCTTAAAATGAAAGCTACATAAGATGTATTTTTCAATATTTTTGAAACAATTTTATGCATCCAGCTGTGTTACTTTTCAGGTTAAAATTCTGTCTTTCTACTGCATAAGAAAAACACAAATCTGATCCTATCACACTTAAAATAACTAATGAAGCTGTTTTGAAAATTACGTTACTGGTGATTAAAATAACGTGTACATGGGACCCCTTCCATTGTTGATACACATTTTATTTTGGTTCTAGTTTTCCTTAGGTTTTTAATTCCTGTTTTTGTATATTTTAACAGTTTACTTCTCCATAACCACCTACAAGAAAGTGTTTAATTTTACTTGTATTGGTTTTTTATACTTTTAGTGGCTTATTTTCTTACTATTTGGAATTCATAATGGAGACTCATGGAAAGGGAGGTTGAGTTTCGTATAGTGGAAAGAGTGTAAGTTTTGGAGTCACACAGATCTGGGGATTCAAACTCAAGCCTACCACTTGCTTGCTGTTGTATTTAGGCAAGTTATATGACATTGTTGAGCCCCTCTTTCCTCAACTATGAAATGAAAGTAAAACTTCCTTATGGCATTTTGGTGGGGTTAGAAATAATATTAACAAAGTATTAATAACTGGAAGTTATGATCATTATTGTCACTATTATTATAACTACAAATATACAGATGATTGCACCACCAAACTAAACTGGGATTACCTAAAATGATGCTAGGGACCAGATTACTAGTGTTCTGGGGAACAAGCAGCTTTGGAAATTCCTTGCGTAAGATATTAATAACCATCTTGCATGATTTAGAATGATAGAGGTGGAAATTCAGGGCAACTCAGTAAATTGCATTGAGCAGCCTGGCATGGAGCTTGTGCCTAGATTTAAAGAATTGGGCTTATACATTTTGTTTGAAAAGAGAAATGTAAAGCTGGAAAAGTAGATAAACTGTATTTTTCAAAGTAACTACTTAAATTAGTGAATTATATCACTAATAAGAGAAATCATATTAAGGAGTGAAGTCAATAAGCCCATATTCTGATAACTAACACAAAAAGTCAGTGGGAAAAATATTTTAAAACATTTTGAACTTTTAAAATATATCTTTTATTGATATTTTGGTAATGACTAAATAAAAAGACTAATTTCAGTAAAAGTTTTTATCAATAGGTGTAAGCAATTCTATTCTGAAAGTATATCCTCTTTTAAAGTTGGTAATGGAAATTCAAGTAAAGGAGCTTGAGGGCAACGTTAAAAGGGGTTCAGATTTTTTTAATAACTTCACCCACTTCTGCACATTGGCTGGCATTGTTATACTGAAGTTGTGAATCTGCTGAGGCACAGACCATACCACATATGCTACTGTGGGTTTGTTCCCAGAAGTCAGGGGCTTAGTTCATAGCACAGAGAACTGCAGCCTTTTCTGGGCTGCTGCTTTCTTTTAGTTAAAAGTCATTGGCCAGGCGCGGTGGCTCACACATGTATTCCCAGCACTTTGGGAGGCCAAGGCGGGTGGATCACAAGGTCAAGATATTGAGACCATCCTGGCCAACATGGTGAAACCTCGTCTCTACTAAAAATACAAAAAAACTAGCTGGGCATGGTGGCGTGTGCCTGTAGTCCCAGCTACTCAGGAGGCTGAGGCAGGAGAATTGCTTGAACCTGGGAAGTGGAGGTTGCAGTGAGCCGAGGTCACGCCACTGCACTCCAGCCTGGCGCCTGGTGACAGAGTGAGACTCTGTCTCAAAAAAAAAAAAAAAGTCATTAAAGCTACTCAACCATATACGCCTTGGACAAAGAGAACAAAAACTATGTAATATTTCTCTCTGCTATATTGGGACACATCACTGGACACTGAACTTCATTTGTGTCTTTGGCACATAACCTTCCAAATTAAAGTAAAAGTCAGCTGATATTCATAGCAAAACTGCTTTTTAGTCTGTTTTCCAAAGTACTTGAAAAGATTTGGGGGCATACTCTTTGCTGATAAATGTGTGTAGACAGTTGATGAGACCTTGTTAAGTTTGTAGAGTAGGCTTTGTGGCACTAGCAATGAGAATGGAGGCTCAGCCTGATTTGCATTGAAAATTGAATGTCTTTCAGTGTTACATAATCCTTTCCAAGTACTGAATCCACGTTTGTTGTATTGGTCTGTAAAGAAGTGGACTTATCAGCTTGGATTATGTTAGTTGTATCCAAGTATCCGTTTAGCATTTGAACCATGTTCTCAAAATATCTTCTTAGTGAACGTCAAAAACTTTAGAAATGATTCAGTCTCCTCCTGCAGGTTCCCTTTAGGTACTTACCTGGTATATAGGCACAGGCACCTCACGAGTGAGGGAGGAGGTAGGGTACAAACCAGCTAAAGGTCACCATGGACATAAATATCTTTTATTTTAGAAGCAAACCTATACTATGAGCCATTAAATTTTTAAATGTGTTGTAGTAAACACTGAGACCAATGTTTCAATTCTGTGTATGAATTGAATCAACAGAATATACTAAGTACTATTCTGTTATTCTCTAATTTGATTGTTCTACTGTTTGTAATTTTTAAACTGTCCTTATTTTTATAATATATAGTAGACTATGACTATATAAGTATCAAAATCCATAAATCTTTAGTAGTTTGTGGAGAAAACCCACTAAAATCCTTCATTTAAGTTAGTTGCATTTGCAGATTTAAAAAGTACCTTTGTGTATCCTGATATCATGTCTTAGAGTCAGTAGGTATGTGGATAGCACCAGTAACTATTTGTATAATTAAAATTGATGTGGTAAGTTATTTTCTACATTTTTTGTTTTTGGTGCTGTAATATCAAGTGCTTTGTTTTGTACTCTGATGTGTCTACATTTACCCTTCAGATGCAAATAATGGACTTAAATAGGCTTTTATTTTAGTATCAGAGGGAACTTTATGCACTAAGGATACATTCTTTTTCTTGCTATTTATAGTTTTGGTAAATACTGAATAAGTCTGACTACTACTTAATAGATCTATTCATAATAGCTGTCTGTAAATGACATAGTCTTTGTAATGAGTAAAACTATCCTTATCGTAAACTCTCCTTTGAGTTTTTAGTAATATATGTTGGTTTTGGCTAAAAGCATATATACTTGTCTTCTTTGTTTACTGATAACATTGGCAATAGCATATTTCAAGCGATTTTTACTTGCAAATATCTTTTGGTTATGTAATTTTTAAAATCTGACTTTAAACAGATTTTAGATGGGAATTATACTTCATGATTTCAAAGTATTTTCTAGATGGAAATTTTGTCTATAAATTCTAAAATGCTATAGTATTCCCAACATAGTTTTCAAACAATATTTTACCTGATTTGCTAGTGAGAGCTTGGATTATAGATAAACAAGGAAAAATGGATTCCAAATTGAAAGTCTCTTCAGAAGGTGGCAAGATTCTAGTCATATTTGTTTGGCCTTACCTTTTTATTTTTTTATACCTTAAGTTCTGGGGTACATGTGCGGAACATGAAGGTTTGTTACATAAGTATACACGTGCTATGGTGATTTGCTGCACCTATCAACCCATCATCTACATTAGGTATTTCTCCTAATGCTGTCCTTCCCCTATCACCCCACCCCAACAGGCCCCGATATATGATATTCCCCTCCCTGTGTCCATGTGTTCTCATTGTTCAACTTCCACTTATGAGTGAGAATATACTGTGTTTGGTTTTCTGTTCTTGTGTTAGTTTGCTGAGAATAATGGTTTCCAGCTTCATCCACATCCCTGCAAAGGACATGAACTCATCCTTTTTATGGCTGCATAGTATTCCATGGTGTATATGTGCCACATTTTCTTTATCCAGTCTACTACTGATGGGCATTTGGGTTGGATCCAAGTTTTTGCTGTTGTGAACAGGGCTACAATACTTGTGCATGTGTCTTTATAATAGAATGATTTATAATCCATTGGGTATATACCCAGTAATGGATTGCTGGGTCAAATGATATTTCTAGTTCTAGATCCTTGAGGAATTGCCGCACTATCTTCCACAATGGTTGCATTTTACACTCTCACCAATAGTGTAAAAGTGTTCCTACTTCTCCACATCCTCTCCAGCATCTGTTGTCTCTTGACTTCTTAATAATTACCATTCTAACTGGCATGAGATGGTATCTCATTGTGGTTTTGATTTGCATTTCTCCAATGACCAGTGATGATGAGCTTTTTTTTTCATATATTTGTTGGATGCATAAATGTCTCTTTTTGAGGAGTGTCTGTTCATATCCTTCGTTCACTTTTTGATGGGGTTGTTTTTTTCTTGTACATTTGTTTAGGTTCTTTGTATATTCTGGATATTAGCCCTTTGTCGGTGGATAAATTGCAAAAATTTTTCCCTATTCTGTAATTTGTCTGTTCACTCTGATGATAGTTTCTTTTGCTGTGCAGAAGCTCTTTAGTTTAATTAGATCCCATTTGTCTATTTTGGCTTTTGTTGCCATTGCTGTTGGTGTTGTAGTCATGAAGTCTTTGCCAATGTGTCTGGCCTTACTTTTATGCTACTAACTATAACTAGGTGAAGCATGTCTCCACAAATGATTATGTTCAATGAATTCTGAGAGGTTTTAATTATGTTTCAGAATTATGCTGTATAGTTCCCTAGAGAGCAAAGTTAAAAGCCTATAGCAAGCATCCATTAGATGAAGAATCTACTTTATAAAGTATTTCTACTTTAGAGTTCTTTAGAGCTAGTTATTTCTACTTCTTTAGAGTCAGTTATTTCATTTATAAAGGGTTATGCCACTTTAGCCCTATAGGTGTAAAGTTCAGTTTATAACTTCAAAGCAGTTTTTAAAGCTTTAGCTTTCATAATAATTTGAATACAGAATGATAAATAATAACTTCTGGTTATATGAGGAACATGGTGAGAATTTAGTTCCAAATTGATCCCACAAAACCTCCTGGAAAATATTGAGAGCCACAGAAAGAATAGAAAAAAAAAACATCATAAAATAAAAATTAAGAAGTAGATAAACCAGTATATTGCAAATTGAAAGCTAAGTTACTAATAGGACTATATATTTACAGATTATATATATATATATATATATATATATATATACACACACACACACACACACACACACACACACACACGCACATATATATTTTCAACACATGGTATAATTGGGTCCCCAAAGAGGAACTGTGGTGATGTAACCACCATTGGTAGCAGTGGTGATGTAGTTTTCACAGCCTACATATGAGCAAACCACAGCTCTTATTTCTGGTGGCAACTGCAAACCCTCAACAAGTCATTTAACAAAACATTTAAGGACAAGTAAAGAAGGAATATGTCTTAGTTTTTGCAAACCTTCTGTTGATGCATTTTTAGAAGATCAAGAAAGTGCCAGACCAGAACTTGCAGAAAACTTGTCAACGGTTTGGAAATCTGCTGACAATAACAGAGTACTATTTTTTTTTTTCATTTTGAAGTAATTTAGACAGAAAGGTTGTAAACAAAAGTAGTTACCATAAACCTCTACTCAGCTTCCTCTGATGTTCACAGCTTCTATAAACACAGTACAGTTATTAAAACCAAGAAATTAGCATGGATGCAGTGCTATTAACTACTTAATAGACCTTATTATAATCTCACCAGTTTTCCCACTAAAATCTTTTTCTGGTCCAGGACGTAAGACATCATTCCACTTGAATTTAGCTATCGTAGTCATGTGTCTCTTCCAATATTGACTGTCCTTGATGTTCTTAGTCTTTCTTGACCTTGACACTTTCAAAATGTCAGTAATTTTGTGGAATTTCTTGCAATTTGAGTTTTTCTGATGCTTTCTCTTGATTAGGTTGAAGTATTTTACTTGATTAGGTTGAAGGATTTTTAACAAGAATCCCACGGAAATGATGCTGTGCACTTCTCAGTGTATCACATCGTAATATCAGTGTCTTATTGGTGATGTTAAATATGTTAAGGTGGTCTCTTGACATAGTTCTCCACTGTAAAGGTACTAGTTTTCCCTTTATAATTAATAAGTATCTTGAAGGAAGATATTTTGAAACTCTGTAACTGTCCAGATCTCATCCAGTTTTTGCCCACTAATTTCAGCATTCTACAATGATTCTTCCTATCCAGTGATTATTGTGGTATTTACTTAATGTTTTTCTGTTTCCATTGTTCCTTCTATTTTGATTAATTGGAATTCTACTTTAAGGAATAGCTATCTCTTCCCTCCCGTTTATTTTTGTCCCACCACTCCATGTTTTGTGCTTTATTGAGCTGTATTGGCAGGCAAAGTAATGCAAATGCTTTGAAAATAAACTATCAAAACTTCTTTGCCCGGAATTTTAAAGCAAAAAAGTAAAAGTTGTTTTCATAAGAAACTGTTGACAAGTGAAAGTCTAGGAAATGTCACTCATATTTTGGTCTTTCTGTCTCTTTCTAGCTTAGATCAAAATATGACAGATTTTTTCCACAGGCAATAGTTTAGTAGTCCCAACTTTAATTATTTTTAGTAATTATTTTCAGTATTGAAAATACTGACTTCTAGTATTCATGTAAGTAATAAACATTTAAATAAGAAAAATATTTATTTTCATTTCCTAGGTGCTGGAGCAATTCTTATTCCTCGTTTAGACATTGTGATTTCCTTCGTTGGAGCTGTGAGCAGCAGCACATTGGCCCTGATCCTACCACCTTTGGTTGAAATTCTTACATTTTCTAAGGAACATTATAACATATGGATGATCCTGAAAAATATTTCTATAGCATTCACTGGAGTTGTTGGTTTCTTACTAGGTACATATGTAACTGTTGAAGAAATTATTTATCCCACTCCCACAGTTGTAGCCAGCACTGCACAAAGTCCTTTTCTAAATTTGAATTCAACTTGCTTAACATCTGGTTTGAAATAGTAAAAGCAGAATCGTGAGTGTTCTATTTTTGTCTCATTTCTGAAAATTATCAAAATAACTAGTAAAATGCCTTGTCATATACTTAAAAATGGTAACAAACTCCATTTTCTTTTGGCACACTATTAATATTTTGGAAGTAATTTTAACTCTTTACCAGTAGTGGTAAACCTATGACAAATCCTTGGTTTTAAGTGTTAGCAATAGTTTCAAAAAATTAAGTTCTGAAACTTGAAAAAAAATTAAAGAATAAAAATACTTCTATTAGTCTTTTATCTCAGTAAGAAATAACCAGGATATTTCTCTTTTATGCTATTCTTTTGCCACTAACTTGAGAAGGGAATAGGATTTCAACAATAAAATAATAAAATAAGAACATATATACAACAAGGTCTCTCCACATCATCCCCGTGAATGCCCAAGTAAACTTTATGTATAATGTAAAAAAAAGAATCTCAGTTATGGTTTCATTAGTGAGCCAGATAATAATGATTAGCTCCTGGAAATATAGAAAACTCTCATTAACATAATGTAAGCATCAGAAAATTGTAAACAATAAATTAATATTATACTCTATCAATGATAGTTGATCTTCATAATCAAGAGGCACTGTTCAAGAACCTGACTTAGTGTTTGAATGAAATTTGAAAAGGGACTTTAAAAGTTATCCAGTGGAACTCCCTTATTTTTCGTCAGAGGAAATGGAGGCCCAAAAAAGTTAAGTAACTTGGTCAAGACCACTCAGCCTTGAGATCAAGAGAACCTAATCTCTGACTCCCAGGCCAGGATGTTTTATTTTTCACATCATGTCCAAGAAAAGGAATAAATTATGTTCAGCTTAATTTTAGTCTTGAATCTATTTAATTATATTTTAATACTTTGAAAGTGAATGTGCATTTTTTAATAGTATATGTGACCTGAGCAGAAAATCAGGGAACTCTTAAGAAGTCTCACCCTGGCTATATAAACCGCAGCAAGAGAAAGAAGCTATGTTATTTTAAAACAGAGTAGAGACCACTTGCTGTTGAAAATGTTGGCTAGTAAAATGTGTGCCCAGCTATGTTAGTTGTGGCTTGAGCTTTTTTTTTATTGTTTCATTCCTTTCCTGGGTTTTGTAGGCACCATCTTCCCAAGTGGCAGAAAATAGATACCTCAAAAAAATAGAGGATTTGTGGACTCTTTCCAGCCCTGTGGCTTTTCTTATCACAACCTTTTATTTATTATGAGCAAAATAAAAAAAATCAGCTGGGTGTGGTGGTCCATGCTTACAATCCCAGCTACTCTGGAGGATAAGTTGGGAGGATCACTTGAGAGGCTAGGATCGTGAGACCGGCCTGGGCAACATAGTGAGACCCTATCTATATAAAACATAAACATTTTTAAAAAGTTAGCCTGACGTAATGGTGTGTACCTGTAGTTCCGGCTACTCAGGAGGCTGAAGCAGGAGGATCCCTTGAGCCCAAGAGTTTGAGGTTGTGGTAAGCTATGATCTTGCCACTGCACTCCAGCCTGAGTAACTGAGGGACATCTCAACTCATAAATCTAAAACAAACACACAAAAATACAATAAGCATAAATCATAAAGGGATTCATGCTTAGAAAAAAAATCAAGATAATAATAAACTGCCTACTAAATATTGAGACACTGTAGGCTTCTTTCAGAGAAATAAATTTCATTATTCCAGATTTTTCAAGCCCAATTACTAACCAAGATAAAGAATCTCTCAGTTGTTGGGGAAGATGAAAACTATTGAGAATAGAATGGTCTCCTGACTTTAAAAAAATTCATACTTTAAAACATGAAGTGTTTACTCAGGCCGGTGATACTTTAATTTGCTAGCATACTATACTTGAAGATACCATCAAGATCACTATAGTTTAAATACTCTATTTTTATATGTAAATGTTAACTTCATTCAAATAATTCTTGCTTATATCATTAACTGGTCATCAAATACAATCCTGAAGATATATCAGAAGCTTTATTTTGGTACAAAGTCATAAGAATCAAAACTTTTTTAACCATTCACATTAGGTATCACCAGTAATTGTTTGAGATACTTTTATATCAAATTTGTTACACTGAACCTTTAGTCATACTAAGAGAATGCAGAAGCTATAGGGAAATTAATCTTCACTGAAACTAATATTGCATAATCTTGAATTAGATGTTTAAAAAACTTTATAGCTTGATATAAAATGAGTTGAAAATTATTTAATAGAAAGCAGCATTCGGTTTTTTTCACCTGTTTTCAGATAACATTTCTAGTCTTTATGTGTTATTTTATTTTTACATTTTGGCTCGTTTATTGTCTTTATGGAGTTTGTCAAATGCAATGAAATTTGAATAGTTGATCATAGCAATAAATAATTTTTAAATTCAGCACAAATATATCTTGAGTATATTGTCAACCAGGCTTCCTTTCCATAAGAATTGCTAAAGGAAGCCTGGTTGATAATATCATTCACTAAATGATGAATACTTTAAATACAAGAAAAAGTTGAAATGCAGAAAAGAAGACGGGCTAAAAAGGAAGAAAGTTTTAATTCTCAACAAGAAACACTATTTAGATGGAAAGTGTAAATGTATTCTTATTAAGGGTATTTAATGATACTTTTTTGTGTGAAAATAACCAGTGGGTAATTTTTTCTCTGAAAATTTAGTTTTAATGAGTTGTAAAATTTCCTAAAGATTTTGGAGATGATATTTTGATTATACCAGCTCTTCCTTTTATTTTGGGAGCCTGGAGAAATGAGTGATTGCACCTGTCAAATTTTGTATCGCATAGCCTTTGGATCATCACATTGTGACTAAAATGACTTCAGCATTTTGTCGGCCATGACAGTGAAGAACTCTTCACTGAAAGTTAAGCAGTTGCCTGAGAGCCTTTTCTGCTACTGAGGGGGAAAAAAGTAAAGTTTTATTTACCTCTAATGAGCTCTGTTCCGACTCAGTTATCAGTGTTCCTTTATACCCAAGAGTTTAATCAGTATCAGGGTCAACTTGTCAAAGCGCTAGTTCTCAGACATTTTTTTTGGACGATCTTCTTTTCCCCACATAGCCAGATTTTTTTTTCACAGTTAAGAAAATAAGAGCTACAGCGTATTCTTGGTTAAAAACCAGTTTAGACGGTGTTACCAAATGAAAAAAGTCTGTGTTAGCAAATGCCACATTATATTTAGTCGTATTCTTAAAATGATTTCTGCCTCTTGCCTAGACAATGCACTTACATATTTACAAGCATTGTATGTCAATGTACATGTTTTGAATTTCCTAACAGTGTCTAATCTTAGCAGTTTCATAGTAGTTACATAAAATCTCTTTAACTGCAAAGTACTATAAAACATTTCTTGAAATATTAAAGTATTATATTAGTGCCATTTCTGTAGTAAGACTTGGCAAAGCACAAGTCTTACTATAGCTTATGTCTTCTCACAGATTTGAGTACGGCATCTGAGTAGTAGATTTGTTTACTGACAGTATACACAAATTAGGTCTTGACCTCACTTCCTTCTTCATTTGAAAGGGAGAAGATTTGAAATAGAGCTAATGTAAATAATAAATACATTTATTTAAATGACATCAGTGGCTCAATACCATCTGTTAAGGAATAAAATAATTTGGTAAAAATATAGAACATTAATAATATAAAATAATGACTTTTTAAAAAATGAATCTGATCTTTTTGGCTCACTAAGCTTTCCCTAATAAGAAAATTTGAGAAACTTGGATCTGAAAAGTATAGTAATATATTTCCTAACATTAAATTCCTGGCTGTAATAGTTAATACTTTGCCAGCATTATGGTTTGTCATGTTTATGCCTCTGGCACTTACTAGGCTAAACTTTGATTAATTTTGACCTATGAGATAAGGAAACATGCTTAAGAAATGGCTAGAAATGCTATTTATTGCCCTATGATAAGTGAAATGGCAGATCACTCTGATTCTCAGAATTTCATATTAAAATTAGCTAGTTCCTACATGCATGAGTGCACACACACAAATCAGTAATCTATGTGAATTGTATACTAATACTAATTTACTATTTAAATTGGGTCCAGAAGTTGTTTCGAAAAGAACATACTAAAAATACTTCATTAGAGTTTTCTTTATAGCAAATAGGAAAATACATGTTTACATTCTGGATAAATTAAGCTGTGGGTTGGTTTTTGTTTTTCAAATGATTTTGTTTGAAGATGAAATATCATTGCATTCAAGTCAATTCTTTTAACAATTTTCTTTATAACAATATGAAAAAATCTGTCTTAAAGTAACTTTTCTGAATTTTCAATAAAATATTTTGCAGTTGCCTTTTAGATATTTTTTTATAAGGTTAAATGACATTGATAAGTGTCATAAGCTAAAAATGACACTAGTGTAATATTCTCATAATAACATTTTAATCAGTCTTTATGGTTAATTCTCTGTTATGCTGGAAGTTGGTATTGTGTACTTCTAAGATTTAAGAGCAGAAGTTGATTAAAAATAAAAGAACAAACTCAAAACTGTGACCTGAACTTCCTGCAGCATGAATGCAGGATAAGCTGTCTGCAGATGCTGCATTCATGATTTAATTTACTGCTTTCGTAAGGTCAAGAATATGTATCAGTCATTTTGTTTGCATTACAAAATTGGAATAATGCTTTTGGGAAAGCCTTATGCCAATCCTGTAATAAAAGATCATAAAGATATTTATACCTTTGCATCAGTAATCCTGCTCTTATGAACTTAGCATAAAGACATATCATAGTTTGGCCAGGTGTGGTGGCTCACCCCTGTAGTCCCAGCACTTTGGGAGGCCAAGGCAGATGGATCACGAAGTCAAGAGACGGAGACCATCCTAGCCAACATGGTGAAACCTCGTCTCTACTAAAAATATAAAAATTAGCTGGGCATAGTGGTAGGCACCTGTAGTCCCAGCTACTTGGGAGGCTGAAGCAGGAGAATCATTTGAACCCAGGAGGTGGAGATTGCAGTGAGCCAAGATTTGTGCCCCTGCACTCCAGCCTGGTGACAGAGCAAGACTCTGTCTCAAAAAAAAAAAAATCATCAGAAGAGAGATGCTATGACTAAAGGTGTATTACAACATTATGTTTTAATGTGAGAAATTGGAAACAAGTTACATGTTCAACAAGAGGGAGATCATAATGAAGATTATGTAAATTACGCCAAAGTTATACTGAGGACTAATAATTTGGGAAATTAAAAATTGCATAAAATTAAATTTAAATTGCAGTTCTGCAAAATATGCATCCAGGCCAAGAAACAGAGATTTGTGGAAAATGGAACCATAATGTCAGAATAAAGAAATGAGTTTTACTAGTTTTAAATGACTAGTGGAAGGAGGCATGTGAGAGGAATAAACAAATGGTTTTAGGAACAGGAAATTTATAAAGCCTTAGTAGTAGTACATGCTTCTGGCAAGCAAGAGAAAGAACATAAAGACAACACACACACACACACACACACACACGAGAGAGAGAGAGGGATAGGATGGACTTGGTTAATGTAAATTGCAATGAAAAGCCCTGTGGGGTACTTGCTGGAGGAAAAAAAATAAAGATGGCTAATACTACTTTAATTGGTAAAACAAGGTACTACTCTGTTCTTTAAAAACCAAGAAAGGTTTCTTTGGAAAAGGTTGCACATTGTTTTATTTTAAGTTCTGGGATACATGTGCAGAATGTGCAGGTTTCTTGCATAGGTAAATGTGTGCCATGGTGGTTTGCTGCACTTATCAGGCCCCAGTGTTTGTTGTTCCCTTCCCTGTGTCCATGTGTTCTTATTGTTTACCTCCCACTTGTAAGTGAAAATGTGATATTTGGTTTTCCGTCTCCTTTGTTAGTTTGCTGAGGATAATAGTTTCCAGTTCCATCCATGTCTCCACAAAAGACATGATCTTGTTCCTTTTTATGGCTGCATAGTATTCCATGGTGTTGTTCCTTTTTATGGCTTCATAGTATTCCATGGTGTATATGTACCATGTTTTCTTAGTCTATCATTGATGGGCATTTCGGTTAATTCCATATCTTTACAATTGTGAAGCATACTGCAAGGAACATACTCATGCATGTATCTCTGTAATAGAATGATTTATATTCCTTTGGGCATATATCCAGTAATGGGATTGCTGAGTCAAATAGCATTTTTGGTTCTAGATTTTTGAAGAATTGCACACTGTCCACTTGTCGTCTACAATGGTTGAACTAATTTATATTCCCACCAACAGTGTAAAAGTATTCCTATTTTTCTGCAACCTCGCCAGTATCTTTTATTTCTTGACTTTTTAATAATTGCCATTCCGACTGGTGTCAGGTACCTCATTATGGTTTTGATTTGCGTTTCTCTAATGACCAGTGGTGATAAGCTTTTTTAAAAATGCGGTTGTTGACCACACAAATATCTTCTTTTGAGAAGTGTCTTTTCATATCCTTTGCCCACTTTTTGAGTGGGTTGCTTTATTTTCTTGTAAATTTATTTAAGTTCCTTGTAGATTCTGGATATTAGACCTTTGTCAGATGGGTAGAGTGCAAAAATTTTCTCCCATTCTAGGTGACCTGTTCATGCTGATGGTTGTTTCTTTTGCTGTGCAGGAGCTCTTTAGTTTGATTAGATCCCATTTGTCATTTTTTGCTTTTGCTGCAATTGCTTTTGGCAATTTCATGATGAAAGAGCTCAAAAAGTACAAACTAAGGATCACAATGAATATCTGGAAATGGGAATTAATGTCACTGAAAATGATTTGTTTGATGGTTTAAAATATGAGGGAATTGGGTCTTTTGGTCTTCAGTTTTTCTGGTCCCACGCATTATCTTTCATGAGACCTTGCTCAAGTGTGTTGTTTGCGCATACAGCAGAGTGTGCTCCGTAGAAAAAAAATTTACCTCAATGAGTATTAGTACTTTTCAGTATAAAACAGATTAATTTTGCCACTGGAAGAAGACAAGAGGCATCAATATAATATTTTGCACACCAAAAATGTATCTGGGTCTCCCTTTTTAGGATATGCTTGGAAAACTAGCCACCCAGTGTTAATGACTGATAAGTATTATACTGAAACAAACTGCTGGAAATCACACATAATCAATGATGCCCATCAAATGCATACTGGTAGAGATTTTGCTTTTTAGCCAGTGTTGTATAGATAAAAACTGCCTAATGACTTCTGGTTGTTGTGATATAGAAAACCCAAACCATAGAAGATATTTTCTAAAATTAAAGTTGCTTTGGAGGCACTACATAGACAGAAAAAGATGTGTTGTACTCAATTCTGACAGAGGCCCAGGTTATTACAAGGTTATGAGAGTAGCCCCTAAATGTAAATCCACATACTGCTTGGTTTTCAGAGGTTAACTAGCAGTCTACCATGGTACCTCCTGACCGAAATGTTCAAGGAAATAGTGAAAATAAGAATTCTGATCATCTTGCAGCTCTTGAGGGTACACCTTTGAACACATTCTGCCAGGAGATGGGCAGTGACTACAGATACATTTTTCCTCACTGAAAAAAATGTTGGTTGCCACAGGGAAACATCCTAGGAGCTGAAAAATCATGGATGGGAAAATTTCTCCAGGACACTGATAATGCCAATAAAGACCATTTCTGTCACTTCCAATGTGGTGTATCTCAGCAATATTCTTAATTACCTTGACAAGCCAGGACTTACCAGTCTGGGGATAAGCTTTTGCCAATTTCCAATGATGAGGATAAAGGGTCAGGATTAAAACAAAACAAGCTGTGGAACAAATGCCTCAGTCACTAGGAATTTTATTCCCAATATTGGATTACTTTCTTTCTCGTTAGAGAAAACAAAACAATGAAATCTTGGGTATGCTTAAAAAAATACATCAAGATGCCACAATAGAACATAAAGAATTGCTCTACAGCAGTGGTCAGCAACATTTTTTAGCACCAGGGACCAATTTTGTGGATAATTTTTTCACGGACGGGGCGGAGGGGTTGGTTTTGGGATGAAACTGTTCCACTTCAGATCACCAGGCGTAATTAGATTCCAATAAGGGGCACACAGCCTACATCCCTTACATGCACAGTTCATGATAGAGTTCACAATCTTATGAGAATCTCATGCCATCGCTGATTTGAGAGGAGGCGGAGCTCAGGTGGTAATGCTTGCCAGCTGCTCACCTTCTTCTGTGCAGACAGTTCCCAATGGGTCACGGGACCCCTGCTCTATAGAGTGCAATGTAATCAGAGTAGATTAGGAGTTTCTTACTAAGCCCAAGTAAAACCAATGAAATTGCCAGGTTTTGGCCGGGCGCGGTGGCTCAAGCCTGTAATCCCAGCACTTTGGGAGGCCGAGGCGGGTGGATCACGAGCTCAAGAGATCGAGACCATCCTGGTCAACATGGTGAAACCCCGTCTCCACTAAAAATAAAAAAAATTAGCTGGGCATGGTGGCGCGTGCCTGTAATCCCCGCTACTCAGGAGGCTGAGGCAGGAGAATTGCCTGAACCCAGGAGGCGGAGGTTGCGGTGAGCCGAGATCGCGCCATTGCACTCCAGCCTGGGTAACATGAGTGAAACTCCGTCTCAAAAAAAAAAAAAAAAAAAAAAAAAAAAAAAAAAAAAAAATTGCCAGGTTTTGATTCCATTATGGACTTAGAGTTTTCAAGGTACTCACTGATAAATCTCTTCATTCATTCTCTGTCCACCCTTTATCCTCATCATATCTCAGTCCACATTTAAGCTGGGCTGAGATAACATTCTGATAACCGAATTATCAGACGAAGCCCTCAATCACCTGCTGACATTCCTAATGACCTATCATTGTAATTTTGAAATCTTTAACTGAGTAGCAGTAGAGAGGCAGGAAAGAAACATACTGCATGTAGAACCTCATGCTTCAATTATTTAGCCAAAAACTGAGTGGAAGGTTAATAGTGAGATCAGCCGTCTTCCACTGACATGAAACAATTATTCTTACCTTTAATATTGCCTTAAGTTTTTATAATTTAAATACAAATCATGCCTCTTTCTGTTCACTTAAAATTAATGGTCCAAGAGTCCACTTAACAACTACTAAGTGGTTTGGGGATAACAAAAATATGAGAGGTTGTTGGTTGAATAAATGAGTCTGGGAATTATCTGGGCTACACAATGTCTAAATATGGTGAAAGCTCACCCTTGAATGGTTTTTCCTGGTTGTGGCCAGGGACAATTGGAAATGTGTTGAGAACAGGTGCATGAGTGGGAGTGTTAGAAGTCTTAGGATTTGCATTTGATGAAAACAGCAAATATTAGGAAGATTAATCTTCTGAGACAATATATAAATGATAGAAATGATCACAGTG